AAGTGGGGTTCACTTCGGACAGAGGCGGCTCCTCCCGTCGCTTTCTCGCCGGAGGCAACCCTTTGCTACGGCCACAAGAATGGTCTCAACTACCAGCAACAACAAAGAGAAGAAAAAGAAGGTGATGGTGATATCTGGGCCTACAGGGGCTGGTAAGAGCAGGCTTGCTTTGGAGCTTGCCAAGCGTCTTAATGGTGAAATCATAAGTGCAGATTCTGTCCAGTTTAGTCTTTCTCTTTAGGTGTTGTTTTTTTGGTAATCGATTGATGATTCTTTGTGTTCTGATGATCAATTGTAGCAGAATACAAGAAATTGTGTCTGGGTTCCTGAGTTTTCATGCAAATAGAATTTTGGATTACAAAGAGAGAATTTTTCGTTCCCTAAGGTTGGTTCAGTGTACTCTCAGTTCGTAATGAAAGAAATCATATCCAAGTTTTTTTTTTTTTTTTTTCTCTGTAATCTGAAATGGGGTTTTGAAGCCATTGTGAAGAACTAGAAGTTAGTAGGGTACTCTCAGTTCGTAATTTGTTTTTCTTTAGTAGCAGCACTTTTATAAGCTGCTCATGATGTACTTTTAGTCTTTTGGATAAATGTGATTCACATTTCATCCTAAAATATATATATATATATATATGTTCTTGTAAGACTAATTGGGACATTGACCAAATAGGAGCAAAGGTAATTTGGTGAAATGTATCCTTATGATTCTTAATATGGGTTCGTTGCTAGTGTTCCTATACACTAGAGTTGATGGCTGGTAGGAAACTTGTAGATATTTTCTAGTTGCTATAGATTACTGGTGCTTGTTTCTTTGCCATTTCTGTTATTAACCCAGATGATGCCAAAGGCAAATTGGGGTTGTATCTTGTGAAGGCAGCAATATTTCAGAAACAAGCTTAACCATGTTGAGGATGATATGTTCATGTTCATTTTAGAGCCTCCTGGGACAGTTGACTTGTGAAAGCTTGTAATTATTATAAGCATTAAGTCTAGATTCCAGTTTCTATATGAGTCATTTTTCTTTTGGGCCGTTCACAATAAGTGATGAGATCTTTTCCCCAGTGGATTTATTCCTGAGGTTTTCTGTTGCAGGTTTACCGTGGTCTAGATATTGGGTCTGCAAAGCCTCCCCTCAGTGACAGAAAGGTACCTGCTTAAGATATATTTACATGACTAGTGTTATTCATTAATTATGCATACGTGTCAGTCCACAGAAGAAGGAAGATCAATATCAAATCAGAACATCTTTGGGAAACTTTGATGCACTTACAGTGGAAAAATTGTTTGGCTTGATTAGAAAAGTCAACAAATTTTAAAAAATAGTAATTGAGTGTCATAGGGGGCTTTTGCAGATTTAAACAGATTCATGTACTTTGAGGGCATAATTGTGCATGGTTTCTATTGTGAACTTATGTTGCACGTATGCTAAAATTATTTATAAATCTCTTCTTTCATACATCTCATATGTGTCGTTGACCCCAATTACTGTTGAGGTCTTGAGCCACATGTACTATTTCTCTGAGTCAGTTTATTTTTTGGCAGTTGGCAGTCCTTTTTTTTTACCCAAAGAAGCAAAGTGTGCCGCTGAATAGGGCTTGGTTATACTAGCTCTTCTCTTTCTTTCTTTCATTTTTTTTTCCTACTTAGGTGACTATAGCCTGTTGATTAGAAGCAATTGGTGGATTAGAAAGGCCTGATTGTTCTTGTTGCTAATACAAGAATAGTGAAGAAACAATTTCTTCAGCTAATAAATTTTCATGCACTCAGGCTTCAGCTTATGGAAATGGCTTGTTAATTTATAGAACTCTTTGTTAATACACTTATATGATCTAATGAATGAAAATTAAGCAAGAATTCTATGGATTACTGAGCCATTTCCATTTGAGGCAATAAGCTGTTTGGGTTTGACTGAAGAAGCTTCTTTGTTGCCTGTGTATCGCTTTTAGCTATTCAGTGACTATAATTTGAAAAATATATTTTCCCTCTTTTTTTTTCCCCATAAATAGCTTCCTTAACTATCTGACTTCAATCCTCTTGTAGGAAGTGCCACACCATCTGGTAGACATATTGGATCCATTTGAATGTATGTTTCTGGTAACATCAGATAATGTCAATAAACCATGTTATGCATTCTGTTTATCGTAGACATTGTTCACCTTCCTAAGTTTCTGAAAGTTTCATTTTTCAATATTAAAAACTGAGTTTTATTCTTTTTATTAGTTCAGACTATTCTGTAGGACAATTTTTTGAGGATGCCAGGCAAGCAACAAGAGATGTTCTTGACAGTGGCCATGTTCCTATAGTCATAGGCGGAACTGGCTTGTATTTACGATGGTATGTTCCTAGATATACTTTTGCGGTTTTGCCTAGGTGAGCTTTGTGAAGTTGCTGGGCTTCATCTTTTTCTTCAATATAACTTCCTGATCTCTATAAACTAACCTCTTTGCAACAAAGTCTGCATTTTCTCTTTGATTCTCCTGGCTTCCTCAATTGGGTAGTGTTGCTTCATATTGTGGTTTAAATACTTTGTGAAGTGCATTTTCTCTTATGGTAATACTTCTTGTGATTTTATAGGCTGCCCTGGCAGTTGAATTTTCTTTCTCATGAGTTATTGTAAAACAACATATATAGAGTTGTTTGCTATGATATCTCTTCTTTTTGCTATTAGGTTTGTATATGGAAAACCAGATGTTCCAAAAGCTTCTAGAGACAGCTATAGTACCTGCAGAGTACCTGCAGAGATAGCAGATTTTGAGAGAGATGGGGAATGGGATGCTGCTGTGGAAATGGTGGTTAAGGCAGGAGATCCAAAAGCTAGGTCATTGCCTGTCAACAACTGATATCGATTTTGTCGCAGCCTTGAGATAATCAAGGTCAGTGATAATGGTTTAAAGGTCTTTGTATCCTCGCAGCCATTCACAATCCCACCCCTTCGAGTACAGAGATGCATGGTGATGTTTGCATATAGGCCATATCATGTA